TTAGTCTTCCTTCTCAGGATTGCTTTGGCTATTCGGGGTCTTTTGTGGTTCCATATGAATTTTTGAACAATTTGCTCTAGTTCATTGAAGAATGATGTTGGTATTTTGATAGGGATTGCATTGAATCTGTAGGTTGCTTTAGGCAGGATGGCCATTTTGACAATATTAATTCTTCCTACCCAAGAGCATGGGATGAATGTCCATTTATTAGTGTCCTCTTTAATTTCTCTTAAGAGTATCTTGTAGTTTTCAGGGTATAGGCCTTTCACTTCCTTGGTTAGGTTTATTCCTAGGTATTTTATTCTTTCTGATGCAATTGTGAATGGAATTGTTTTCCTGATTTCTCTTTCTTCTAGTTCATCGTTAGTGTATAGGAATGCAACAGATTTCTGTGTATTAATTTTGTATCCCACAACTTTGCTCAATTCAAATATTAGATGTAGTTTTGGAGTGTAGTCTTTAGGGTTTTTTATGTACAATATCATGTCATCTGCAAACGGGGACAGTTTCCTTGCCAGTCTGGATTCCTTTTATTACTTTGTGTTGTCTAATTGCCATGGCTAGAACCTTCAGAACTATGTTGAATAAAAGTGGGGAGAATGGGCATCCTTGTCTTGTTCCCGATCTTAAAGGAAAAACTTTCAGCTTCTCGCTGTTAAGTATAATGTTGGCTGTGGGTTTGTCATATATGGCCTTTATTATGTTGAGGTACTTGCCCTCTATACCCATTTTTTTGAGATTTTTTTGTCATGAATGGGTGTTGAATTTTTTGAATGCTTTTTCAGCATTTATGGAGATGATCATGTGGTTTTCGTCCTTCTTTTTGTTGATATGGTGGATGATGTTGATGGATTTTCGAATGTTGTACCATCCTTGCATCCCTGGGATGAATCCCACTTGATCATGATAGATGTTCTTTTTGGTGTATTTTTGAATTCGGTTTGCTAATATTTTGTTGAATATTTTTGCATCTATGTCCATCAGTGATATTGGTCTGTAATTTTCTTTTTTTGTGGTGTCTTTGCCTGGTTTTGGTATTAGGATGATGTTGGCCTCATGGAATGAGTTTGGGAGTATTTCCTCCTCTTCTACATTTTGGAAAACTTAAAGGACGATGGGTATTACGTCTTCACCAAATGTTTGATAAAATTCAGCAGTGAAACCATCTGGTCACTGGTTTTGTTCTTAGGTAGGTTTTTGATTATCGCTTCAATTTCTTTGCTGGTAATTGGTTTGCTTAGATTTTATGTTTCTTCCTGGGTCAGCCTTGCAAGGTTGTATTTTTCTAGAAAGTTGTCCATTTCTTCTAAGTTATCCAGTTTGCTAGCATACAATTTTTCATTGTATTTTCTAATAATTCTTTGTATTTCTGTGGTGGTCATAGTGATTTTTCCTTTCTCATTTGTGATTCTGTTTGTGTATGTGTGTAGAGTGTCTTTTTTTCTTTATAAGTGTGGCTAAATAAGGGTTTATCTATTTTGTTTATTTTCTCAAAGAACCAGCTCCTGCTTTTATTGATTCTTTCTATTTTTTTATTCTTGTCAATTTTATTTATTTCTGCTTTAATCTTTATTATGTCCCTCCTTCTACTGACTTTGGGCCTCATTTGTTCTTCCTTTTCTAGTTTTATTAATTCCAGGTTTAGACTGTTCATTTGGTTTTGTTCTTCTTTCCTGAGGTAGGCCTGTATTGCAATATATTTCCCTCTGAGCACGGCCTTTGCTGTGTCTCACATATTTGGTGGTGTTGAATTATTGTTGTCATTTGTCTCCATATATTGCTTGATCTCTGTTTTATTTGGTCATTGATCCATTGATTATTTAGGAGCATGTTATTAAGCCTCCATGTGTTTGTGGACTTTTTCGTTTTCTTTGTGTTTTTATTTCTAGTTTCATACCTTTGTGATCTGAGAAGCTGGTTGGTTCAATTTTAGTCTTTTTGAATTTACTGAGGTTCTTTTTGTGGCCTAGTATATCATCTATTCTTAAAAATGTTCCATGTGCACTTGAGATGTATGTGTGTATCATGTTACTTTTGGATGAAGTGTTTTGTAGATGTCCGTTAGGTCCATCTTTTCTAATATGTTGTTCAGTGCCTCTGTCTCTTATTTTCTGTCTGGTGGATCTGTGCTTTTGAGTGAGTGGTGTGTTGAAGTCTCGTAAAATGAATGCATTGCATTCTATTTCCCCTTTAATTCTGTTAGTGTTTGTTTCACATATGTAGGTGACCCTGTGTTGGGTGCATAGATATTTATAATATTTATATACTCTTGTTAGACTGACCCTTTTATCATTATGTAATGTTCTTCTTTGTCTCTTGTTACTTTCTGTATTTTGAAGATTTTGTCTGATACAAGTACTGCAAGTCCTGCTCTTTTCGCCCTATTAGTTTCATGAAATATCTTTTTTCATCCCTTTACTTTCAGTCTGTGTATGACTTTGGGTTTGAAGTGAGTCTCTTTTAGGCAGCATGTAGATGCATTTGTTTTTTTATCCATTCAGTGACTCTCTGTCTTTTGATTGGTGCATTCAGACCATTTACATTTAGGGTGATTATCAATAGGTATGTACTTATTGCCATTACAGGCTTTAGATTTGTGGTTACCAAAGGTTCAAGGGTAATTCCCTTACTATCTAACAGTCTAATTTAACTCACTTCATATGCTATTACAAACAACCTAAAGGTTCTTTCTTTTTTTTCCTCCTTTTTCTTCCTCCTCCATTCTTTGTATGTTATGAATCATATTCTGTACTCTTTGTCTATCCCTTGGGTGACATCTATTTAGCCTTAGGAATACTTCCATCTATCGGAGTCCCTCCAAAATGCACTGTAGAGGTGGTTTGTGGGAGGTAAATTCTCTCAGCTTTTGCTTATCAGAAAATTATTTAATCCCTCCTTCAAATTTAAATGATAACCTTTCAGAGTAGAGTATTCTTGGTTGAGGCCCTTCTGCTTCATTGCATTAAATATATCATGCCACTCCCTTCTGGCCTGTAAGATTTCTGTTAAGTCTGATGATAGCCTGTTGGTTTTTCTTTGTATGTGATCTTCTTTCTCTCTCTAGCTGCTTTAAAAAGTTGGTCTTTATCCTTGATCTTTGCCATTTTCATTATTATATGTCTTAATGTTGTCTTCCTTGGGTCCCTTGTATTGGGAGATCTGTGTACCTCCATGGCTTGAGAGACTATCTCCTTCTCCAGATTGGGGAAGTTTTCAGCAATTACCTTCTCAATGACACTTTCTATCCCTTTTTCTCTCTCCTTTTTATGGTATCCCTAAATGTAAATATTGTTCCGTTTGGATTGGTCACACAGTTCTCTCTTTCACTCTTAGAGATTCTTTTTTCTCTCTGTGCCTCAGCTTCTTTGTATTGCTCTTCTCTAATTTCTATTCCTTCTTTTATAACCTAGCCTTAGTGTCATGTTCTGTCACTGCAACAGTAACCCATTGGTTACACATATGAGCCCTATTCAGTTGGGGGGAGAACTATTTAAGGGTATGTGCTTCTTGCTGGGAGGCAAGAAGGACTCAAGGGCAGCTTGGAGTCTGGCTATTATAATAACCAAAGAAGAAGCGTATGGACATAGTCAAGTATATGAAAGTTGATACTTTACAAATTGAGAGCTAAAGCACCCAAAATAAAAATAAAAGCAAGAATTATTCAGAGAAAATAACTGCATTTAAGGCAAAGGGCTAAAAGCTATAGGTAGAACATGCCTGTGTTTCTGAGCATAAAGTCCAAGGGGCAGAGCCTGTGTGCAGGCATAGGAAAGAAAGTTAATAGTTGAGCATAGATAAAAACGTTAAACCAATGTAATAATAGGAATGCACACCAAAGCAGCAGTGAAGTGTCATTTTCTAGCTTTCATAATAATAAAACTTGAAAGATAAAGAGATTCTAAACCTACAGCTGATCAAATTGTGATAAAACATTTTTAGTTTGTTGGTGGCACTGGGAATTATGTCATCGGGTTTGGAACATGTTTTGGCAGTTCAGTGTCTGCCTCTCAAGCTATAAGAATGTCTGTTTCATTTCACTCACCAGCCCCACTTTCAGGAATTTATTCTAAGGAATTAATTTAAAAGAAAGAAAGAATCCATAAGCATGAATAATTCATTTTAGTATCCTAACTATCACGGGTAATAGTCTAAGTATCTAACAATAGAGAAATGATCAGTTATTTGTAGTGTATCAACTCAGTGGAATATAATCAGCTTAAGGAATGTAAAGTTTACTTGAATAAAATAATGAGGAAAAGCAAAACCAAACTTTATATAACCTATAATTAAAATCATGGTAATGCTTTTAGCTAGTTTAAAAAGAAAAAGTACATTATGAAAATGGCTATTCTAGATGATGAGATTATGGATGAGATTCTTACACCTTCCCTCCTATTTTCCTTTAATGTTAATGGTGTTTTGATAATAAAACTTCATACCATCTCATAAACGAGAAAATTATTTAGGAATAGAAAAGAGAGGAGAGAAGATAATTTAACGACCTCTTTCTTTCACAAGAGAAAAATAAACATAACCAACTTTTAGAGGAAAGGGACAGAGTTGAGGGCAAATTAGGTACCCTAAATTTAAAATTTAGCTGATACTAACTCTTGGAAGAGAAAACTTTTTTTTGTTGTTATTACTGTTAATTTTGATCCCAAAAGAAATACTAGTTAGCTCTTAGTTTTAGTTTTAGTGCCTTAGATCATGAGCATGTAGCTCACTTTAAATGATGGGATTTTTATTACATATTTTTAATTTGGAGTTTGTCAAGGTTTTTATAATCAACTTGGTGGGGAGGGTGTGCTAAATTTAAATCCTATTTAGCATTAATGAAACTGAGTTGAAGTGCCTGTTCTTGAGACATTTATGACAAGCTTTCAGGAGCATCTTGTTTCTATGGTACATATTTTGATTTAAAATAATTGTCTTTTTCTGATCATTCCTTCAGTCAAAATGATTCTTGATTGTTTTATTGGTGAATTTTTCCTTCTTATTAGGTCATCCATCCTGTTTAAAATTTTCCCCTGAGCTAACGGTTAGAGTGAAGGCCTTGCGGTGGCAGTGCATCGAGTGTAAAACTTGCAGCTCTTGTCGAGATCAAGGCAAAAATGCAGTGAGTATCTTTGCCTTAAAGTGTGACTATTTCATTTAGCAGTAGAATGTAAAACCAGCATATTTTTCTAAGTGTGGTTCGTTATTTTCTTATCACTTGGTCCAGACGAATGTAGAACAGTAGCCTCTTTAAATTACCCATCATTAGTTTAGAATACTAATTAGTGAGACTTTGATTTAGAGTATTTAGAATACTCAATTAATTGTTGAGACTTTGATTATTTCTAGGTAGTTTCTAAAATACCTTAGTTATGTATTTGCAGAGAGACTAAGATACTTTAAAGAAATACTCCTGAAGTTTGTTTGGAGTTGTATGGACACATTCATTTAGGAATGGTCAGTTACAGTGTTAATTACAAATTGTCCTTTTCTTCTTTTTTATTAAAACAGTATAAAGTTAGCTTATGTCTGGTTAGTGGGTAAACTTGACAGCTTTGAAACTGTAGTTCTTTATTAAAGATGGGATGAAGCAAAGTTTTTTGCTAACCCATCATGCAGTTACTCAGGTAATACAAATTAAGGAAATTTACTATTACGGTAACTCATCTCCTTTATGAGATTGTTTTGTGCTTCCTAGGTTTTATGAAGTTGTGATCCTGACATGTTTCTGTTTCACAAGGTTAAGCAGAACTATCCTTTCTCATTTTTAGGATAACATGCTCTTTTGTGATTCCTGTGACCGAGGTTTTCACATGGAGTGTTGTGATCCACCACTCACCCGGATGCCTAAAGGTGAGAAATACTTTGTAAAATCAAACTGGCATTATAGAGGGGCATGGTAGTGAAAGCACCTTTTTATTTACTTTGTTAAAGTGGACGAGTAATTTGCATCTTTATGTTTGGGGTTGTATAAGTAGGAAGAGAGCTGTCACCTTAAGGTATGGAAATGGGCTTTTTTGTTAAGGCATCATAACATTCTTACATGGTATAGATTTATTATTATTTTTCTCTATTTTCAGTACTTAAGCATCCATGGAGAGTGAAGTGGCTCATCTATAAATATTTGACAGTTCTCTAGCTAGAGGGCAACATACTTGTCTTATGTACTATTTTAAAATGTTTTTCTCTAAAGGAAGAAATGAAACTATATTAGGTCATGTTGATTATATCACTGCTCATCACTTTTTAGGGGCCTAGAGCTATTAGAGTCTCTGATTTATTCAAAACTTAAAAAAAATTATAAAATAATTGCAAACAAATAATTCTTGTGCCCCAAATTATAAGAGTACATACAGCTTATATAACTCTATTCTTTTTGACTCCTGTTCCTGGAAAATGTATTTAGTTGGGGTATAATTTCTTGTTGGTTGGACTTTTGATTATCATATGATCACAGTTTCTTTAGCCTTCCCTGCTTTTGTTCCATCACAAATTCCATTTTCAACTCTGAATTTGTGATTTACAGGTTTCTTACGTAAATACTTAATGGGGTATTTGATACTGTGCAGTTGGAAGTTTTCCTGTTGATGGAAAGAGACTCAGCCTTAGTTATAACCATGTTATTCCACTTTAGGAATCTTACTTGACTCCCTCTTAGGCCATTCTATTGATTGTTATCTTTTGAAACATCTTAAATTTATATGCATTTGAGGAATAAGTATTTCCCTTTCCTACCTCTTCCATTTACTTGAAGTGTGGGCAAAAGGCGTTCTCAGAATTCTTCAAGATAAGAAAGATTTCTTAGGACTTCATTCCTGAGTATTCAGTGCCTAAAAAAGATGTTTTATAACAGCTTAAAGCAGGAAACATTTTATTTGGAAGTAATTTCAGACTTAGAGGAAACTTGTAAAAATAATACCGAGTTCTCATTATAGCCTTTACCCAGCTTCCCCTAATGTTAACATCTTACAAAACTGTGGTACAATTATTGAAACCAGGAAACTAACATGGATGTGATATAACTGACTAATTTACAGACCTTATTTGAATTTCTGGCTCAGGGTCTTACATTGCATTTAGTTTTCTTATTTCCTTAGTCTCTTCCAGTCTATTTTAACTCCTCAGACTTTGTCTTTCCTGACCTTGACACTTTGAAGAGTACTGGTCAGTTATTTTATAGAAAGCCCTTTAATTTGGGTTTGTCTTTTGCTTTATTATGATTAGGTTGAGGTTATGAAGTTTGACAAGAATAACATGTGAGTGAGATTTTGCTCTTCTCAGTGCATCGTAATGGGAGTATATGATACCGGTATGTCTCATCACTAGTAATGTTAACCTCAATCACTTGATTCAGTGGAGAAGTCTGACAGACCACCTTAAAGTTATTCTTTTTCTGCTTTGCCTACTAACTAGTATCCATCAGTGATTCTTGCTTGTACTAGTTTTTACTAGTGTTTGTATAATGATTTTCCTAATTTCATCATTTCTTCTACATTTATTAATTGGAATCTGGTGTAAAGAAGAGCCATCCCTTTCTTCTGCTTTTTGTTGATTCAGTTACTTGTATCACTATGGAGTCATGGATACTCATTTTATTGTGTGGATTATAATCCATTGCTGTGATTATTTCTCTTTTTGCTCAGTTGACTCAGATTTGGCTACTGGGAACTCCTTCAGGTTGGTTCCTTTGTCCTTTTGACATGGCTTAGTGATGTTTTGAGCACTTCATTAATTTTTGGCTCCATAAGGTTATTGTATTGATTCTGCTCCAGTCCTGGAATCAACGAGTACTCTATGGAAACCTGGCTTCTTTTCTTGTAGAATGGTAATTGGAAATCAATATCTAGGTGCTAGATTTAGAGTAGGGGTTTTTAACTGAGGGTTTTTAAGTTGAACCATGTGTGGGCTTCAGAGTATTTGTGAATCTCTTCCAATTGTTGGTAAGCTTTGGTATTACATGTTTTCATGTTTATTTTTTTGGGAGGCTTTCATCAGATTTTCAAACAAGAGTCCTTGATCTGAAAGAGGTTAAGGACTGCTGGCTTAGAGTATTTGAACTCTTCCAATGTATTATATCTATAGTGCTTTTATATGGAATTTTCTTTTCTTTACAGGCATGTGGATATGTCAAATATGTCGACCTCGGAAAAAAGGAAGAAAACTTCTACAGAAGAAGGCAGCACAGATAAAACGGCGCTATGCTAATCCAATAGGACGTCCAAAAAACAGGTTACAGAAACAAAACACGGTGTAAGTTGTACTTGTGGCAAGGTGAGGGGAGAAAAGGATAGGGTCTTCTCTATAGTGTAGGATTCACTTGTTTGCTTTATGAAAAAAATTTCAATTATTGTAACTGGCACTTTTATGTAATAATAATGTCTAACACTTATTGAACCCTTAGTGAAGTGCCAAGACCCTGTTCTAAGAGCCTTAAATGTGTTAAATCAACTTGATTTTTCCAACAACCCAGTGAAGTAGGTAACTGTTGTTAATCTTGTTTTTCAAAGGAGGAAATTATAACACAGATTAATTGCACAAGTTTATAATAAGTGTTAAACTGGGATTAAAGTCCAAGTGGTCTGGTACCAAAGTCTGGCTCTTAACCATTCCTTTATATTGCTTCTCGTATAAAAAACAAGAAAAAAAATAATGTTAAGAGTAGCTTTTCACAGATTCCTTTCTTGATGTAGTCTCAGTAGTTTATTTTTATTAAATATACAAATCATTGGGTAGCTGCTTCTGTTGAGGGCATAGCTAAGTCTCATTTCTATTTGCTGATATAAAATAATGTGAGATTTTAATCTGTTAGCAGAAGTCAGGGATAAATAATCTCTTGTAGATTAAGAAGATGGGCTATGTGGGCTATGTGGAGGGGGTGTGGCAAGATTCAGTAGCTAATTCTGTCTTTTTATTTTGAATATCTCTGTATTAGTTCGCTTTTGATGAGAGTAAAATGTCTTTAGGCCTCTGAGCCTCTATTCTTAAAAATTTTACCCACTTTTTCTACACCTAAGACTATCTTGAAGGTGATATAACTGAAGTGAATGGACACTCTTACCTTGAAATATACAGAACCAGTATTGTAGTTTATGTTGTAAATTTTAAATTAAGCTTTACTTTTTCTGTAAAATGGTCTTTTGATTCCTGACTTTCAGAGAATAACCTGTCCTTATGTTTAGAGGTAAAAGTGAGTTGCTTCTTTTAAAACTGTGAGTTGCTGCAGGATTTCAAACCTGGAAGGTCTTTGTTGTTCCCTGGTCCAACTCTGATTTTACAGATGAAGATACTATTTAGAGAGAATGTGATTTGTCCAAGATGTACAGCTAGTAAGTGGTAGAATTATGACTCAAACATGCCTTTTGACTGTTGGCCTAGGATTCTTATCACTATAAAATAACTAGGCTTCCCAGAAAAAGATGTTCTAATAATAATTTTACTTCTTATTCATATAATTTTTATAGTATATGGAATACTTTTAACAATATAGTTTTTAATGTAAAACCATAAGTTATTTACAAATCATATGTTATATGTTAAATAGAAATCATATAAAGATTTCTTTTTTAATGGCTACCCGTTTCCCTGTTTGATTCTTTAGGTCAAAAGGTCCCTTCAGCAAAGTTCGAACTGGTCCTGGAAGGGGTCGGAAACGTAAAATCACTCTTTCCAGCCAATCAGCATCATCGTCAGAAGAAGGCTATTTAGAGCGAATAGATGGCTTGGATTTCTGCAGAGATAGCAGTGTTCCCTTGAAGTTCAACAAGAAAACCAAAGGGCTCATTGATGGCCTTACCAAATTCTTCACCCCTTCTCCTGATGGGCGGAAACCTCGAGGAGAAGTGGTGGACTACTCTGAGCAATATAGAATCAGGAAGAAGGGCAGCAGAAAGTCAAGCACTTCAGATTGGCCCACAGGTAAACGTTTGTTCACTCAGGTTCTGAGTATGCCAGAAATGTGTTACTTGGGATAACACTGTTTATCTGGAATAGATTTATATTTGATTATTAAATATCAGTTGTGCGATACAAGAATGTATTAAAGATACGTGTTTAGATGATACTAAGGTGATAACTATGGCAGGACAAGTAGGAGCTCTTAGACAAAAGAAGATGCTATTTTGGTAGAACCGTAAAGAATCTGCCTACAGAAATTTGAGTCAAGGGTAACTTTGTACTTGCTAAATTATAAAAATGAATCATTTGATGAGCATCATATTTACTTTATTCCTAGAAGGAAATTGGAAAGATCAAATGAAAAGACCAAAATATATGCAAAGGTGATAAGGTCATTGATTTTTTCGACTTCATATCTTGGCAAATATAGTTGTAATTATTCATGAATTATACTTTTAAAAGAGAGAGAGAACCACAGCTCCAGACCATTTGCTTATTATGTATCAAGCTAAGTTCCTAGCTTTCATTTACTTATTTATTTATTTTTGAAATTAAATTTATTTAAATTAAAAAGAAAAACAACAAGAACAATTCACCTATTTCTCCCATTCCCCACCTCCTGCCTCTAGCAACCACCATCTGTTCTCTGTATCTATTAGCTTGGCTTTTTTTTTTAGATTCTACATACAAGGGATATATATGCAGTATTTGTCTTTCTCTGAGTTATTTCACTTAGCCTAATACCTTTGAGGTCCATCCGTGTTGTTGCAAATAGCAAGCTTTCATTCTGTGTAAGGCTGAATGGTACTCTGTTAGACACAACACACACCGTGCGCGCACACACACACACACACGTTTCTTTATCCATTCATCCATTAATGGACGCTTAGGTTGCTTTCACATCTTGGCTATTGTAAATAATACTGCAGTGAACATAGGGTGCATATATCTTTTTGAATTGGTGTTTTTGTTTTCTCCATATAAATACCCTGAAGTGCAAGTGCTGGCTCATATAGTAGTTCTATTTTAAGTCTGCTTTCCATGTGGCTGCACCAGTTTACATTCCCAACAACAGTACACAAAGGTTCTCTTTTCTCCACATCCTTGACAACACTTGTTATTTCTGGTCTTTTTGATAATAGCCATTCTAACAGGTGTGAGGTGATACCTCCATTGTGGTTTTGATTTGCATTTCCCTGATGATTAGTGATTTTGAGCATGTTTTCATGTATCTGTTGGCCGTATGTGTGTCTTCTTTGGAAAAATGTCTATTCAGATCTTCTGCCAATTACTTTATTGGATTTTTGGTTTTTGCTATTGAGTTGTATGAGTTCTTCATAGATTTTGGATATTAGCCCCTTGTCAAATTTGTGATTTGCAAATATCTCCCATTTATATAGATTTATATAGATTTATATAGATTTATATAGATTTATATAGAAATCTCCAATTATATAGATTGCCTTTTCATTTTGTTGATGGTGCTTTTGCTATGCAGAAGCTTTTTAGTTTGGTATAATCCCACTTGTTTATTTTTGCTTTTGTTGCTTTTAGTGTGAGATTAAAAAATCATTACCAAAACTTACATCAGGGAGCTTACTGCCTATGTTTTCTTCTAAGAGTTTTATGGTTTCAGGTCTTACATTCAAGTCTTTAATCAATTTTGAGTTAATTTTTTGCATATGTGTAAGATAAGTGGTCCAGTTTCATTCTTTTGCATACAGCTGCCTAATTTTCCTAGTACCATTTATTGAAGAGATTTTCCTTTCCCTGTTGTATATTCTTGGCTCCTTTGTCATAAATGATTTGGACATATATGCATGGGCTTATTTCTGGGCTTTCTATTCTGTTCCATTGATCTGTGGGTCTGTTTTTAATGCCAATTCTGTACTGTTTTAGTTACTACATAGCTTTGTAATACAGTTCGAAATGAAGAAATATGATGCCTCCAGCTTTGTTGTTATTTCTCAAGATTCTTTCAGCTATTTGAGGTCTTTGTGATTCCATACAAATTTTAAGACTGTTTCTTCTGTCTCTGTGTTAAATGCTATTGGAATTTTGATAGAGATTGAATTGACTGTGTAGATGACTTTGGGTAGTGTGGAATTTTAACAGTATTAATCCTTCCAAACCATGAGCACAGAATATCTTTCCATTTATTTGTGTCATCTTCAGCTTTTTTCATTAATGTCTTACATATATAAAATCTCTTCATAATATATGGGTCTTTAACCTCCTCGGTTAAATTTATTTCTAGGTACTCTTTTTGATGTAGTTGTAAATGGGATTGTTTTCTTAATTTTTCTTTCTGATAGTTCATTATTAATGTATAGAAATACAATAGGTTTCTATATATTGATTTTGTATCCTTAAAACTTCAGTGAATTTTTTAGTTCTGACAGTTTTTGATGGCGTCTATCATCTGCAAATAGTGACAGTTTTAGTTCTTCCTTTCAATTTGTATGCCTTTTATTTCTTTTTTCTTACCAAATTGCTATGGCTAGGACTGCTGGTACTATGTTGAGTAAAAGTGGTGAGAATGGGCATCTTTGTCTTGTTCTTGATCTTAGGGGGAAAGCTTGGAGCTTTTCACTGTTGAGTGTGATGTTAGCTGTGGGTTTGTCATATGTGGCCTTTTTTATGTTGAAGTACATTCCCTCTGAACCTGCTTTGTTGAAAATTTTTAACCAGTGGATGTTGAATTTTGTCAAATGCTTTTTCTGCATTTATGGAGGTGATCATATGATTTTTTTCCTTTTATTTTGTTAGTGTGGTGTATTACAGTGATTGATTGCAGATGTTAGATATCTCTGCATCTCTGGAATAAATCCCACTTGATTGTGGTGTATGGTTCTTTTGATGTTGAATCATTAAATTCAGTATGCTAATATTTTGTTGGTCTTTGCATCTATGTTCATCAAGAATATTGGCCTCTAATTTTCTTGTGACGTCTTTGGTTTTGATATTAGTGTAATGCTGACCTTGTAAAATGAGTTTGGGAGATTTCCATCCTCTGCTGTTTTTGGGAAGAGTTTGAGAAGGATTGGTATGTATTCTTCTTTGAATATTTGGTAGAATTCACCAGTGAGGCCATCTGAACCTGGACTTTTATTTGTTGGGAGGTGTTTGATTTCTGATTCAGTCTCCTTAGTAGTAACTGGTCTGTTCAGATTTTCTATTTCATCATTATTCAGTCCTCGTGGGTTGTATGTTTCTAGGAATTTACCTGTTTCTTCTAGGTTGTCCAATTTGTTAGTGTATGATTTGTTCACAGTAGTCTTGTGAACCTTTGCATTTCTGTGGTATCAGTTGTAAGATCTCCTCTCATTGACTTCATGTTTACATACAAGCTAAGTTCCCTAGTTTTCAAAGTAGGAAAGATCTGTGGGGAAGACTGTTTAATGGTATAGCAGATAATTCAAGTCAAAGTAGAAAATTTTGATAAGCTAACTAGATAATTAAAACTTAAATTTGTCTCACTGCTGTTGAATGCCTTGAATTTAGAGAACCTAATCCTGAAGGAAGTAGAAAGGGCTCTAAAGGAAGTAGAAGAATGAGAATGGACTCTTGGATCATAAGAGTCTTGGTGTTTCATTTACTATAAGAGAATTTCTTAACTTTGATTCTCTTCCCTTGAAGTCCCATTAGTGATCATATTTACTCCTTTCTCATTTCTGCCTAAATAAGTGGTTGATTAGTCTAGTATAACAAAGAAAATCCTCACCATTGTCAGGCCCCCCTTTTTATGCTGTATTGATTGGCTTTTCACCAGAGTGGCAGTCAACTAATTAGTTGCTAAGCATTCAAGTACTTTTTCATGTTTTTACCATGCATGTGACTATAGATAAGCTCTGGCCTTGAACATGTTTATCTAAGAAAATATGCAAGCCTTCGAGATTGAACTGAGGAGTAAAGAATCTCATAAAGGAAATCCTAATGAAAGGCATTTATGAATTGACCATTTCATTGGAGAAGGATTATTAGAAGAATCTACTGAAAAGTTTTAGAAATAGAAGCTATCAGAGCAAATGTATAGAGTATTTGGAGAACCAATATTGAGCTTTAGGCATTGGTATGAGCTTTTGCTTAGTTGGCTCTGTTATTTTCTTTATGAATTGTAGAGTTTAAGGAACACTCTGCACCGTCTGATACAAAGCTGCTGGATGCTCTACTTGATCTGTGCCTGCATCCATCTGTGTCATGCACTAGGGGGCATTACTGCCGCATCGTATCTTTAGTTTATATGTATTTTTTTCAGTTTGGAAATACTGTCAAAAGTGAGTTCTTGTCCTTTTTCTTCTTATGTTAAATGAACAACAGATAGCCTGTATGTGCAGTTGATTAGAAAAGAACTGTCACTAATTGGTCTTTTCAGCCACATTCACACAAGAGGAAATGAGTCTATCAGCAATGTCATCTTCATTCAGTTATCTACATAATCCCCGCTCCCCATACTCCTCATTGTCCCCATACTCTTCATTGTCCATTTGAGGAAGATGCATCATTTAGTGGATTATTATAATTTCTCATACTTATGTAGAGGATTATTATCTGTGATCCTTAGATTTGTGGAGTTTGTGCTTTAAGAGGGCATCTAGAACATGAGAAGAGTTGGTACCTCTTGACATCAGTAAAGGTTGCTATTTCGAAGGTTGTCTTTTTGCTGAGGTAAGAATGTGTCAGGGTTTCATGATAAGACAGGAATAATATATACATATTCTTTATTGATGTATCTTTCTAGTAGTAAATTTAATGCTATCGTCTTCTGTTATATAAAAAATATTAAGATCTTCAGACTGAAATAAAGACACTTGAAATTCTTTCTAGTTCAGTATAAAATAAGGATAGTATTAATAACACGTGAGCTCTCTCTTTATGTGCAGACAATCAGGATGGCTGGGATGGCAAACAAGAGAGTGAGGAACGGCTTTTTGGGAGCCAGGAAATCATGACTGAGAAAGATATGGAATTATTTCGTGATATCCAAGAACAAGCACTGCAGGTAAAGTTGGATATTCACATGGACAATCAAATAATTTACAGGATTAATTTATCTTGTGAGTAAAACTGTAATAGCAATTAATTTATCCACCTGACCTATGAGTGCATGTGGTTTCTGCATATAGATAGTTCTGCTGTTTAAGGTACTCCTTTCAAACCCATGATAACTGCTTTGGTTTTGCAGGTAAATAAACACATTGCTTTGACTATCAGTATTAAATGAGCTTGGTTTGTTTATTTTTTGTCTTATGTATGAAATAGAGTTTGGGATTTGACCAAACCATCAAACAAACAAAAAGCCATGCTTCACTCAAATGGTATAATACCCATATTCATTAATTCAAGAAATACTAAATGGTTTGCCTTAATCCTTTGTGAAACATAGCAAGCTCTGAATGCATAGACAGAAATTCTACTTGTATGCCAGATGGTGGGCATGCCGAAGTGAATGAATGACAGGATCCCTTCTCTTATCTACAGTCTAGGAGAGACTTGTAAATAAATAATTCCATTATTGTGAAAAGTTTGATTGTAGAATACATAGTGTTTTGGAAGAATAGGGAACAAGCATCTATCTCTGCCTGGGAATGTCAGGGGGGAATTCATTGAGGAAAATACTATTTGTGCTGGTCTCAAGAATGTGTAGGAGTTTATCAAAATGACAAGAATGGGACCCCTTATAATCAGAAGGAACAAAAGTGCTAAGACATGCTTAATTTTGGTAATAAATAAATTTCCACAGAGGATAAAGACCATAGGGTGTAGGTAATGGCACAAGATGAGATTGAAAATGTTGCAGGGACTAGATCATAAAGGCTTTCCTAGGTGCATTCATTTACCAGTTGTCTTTTCCTTCTTTGTCACCAACTTACTGTGGAAGCCAAGTTGAATTTTCTTATCTTGAAAGTAAAAGCTTAAAAGGCTAATGCCGGAGATTCCTACTCTGTACATGAGAATCTTTGAATTAGGAGACCCACTCGTAAATAGATGGTTTATGTAGGTCATTATGTGAGTAGTTTCGAAAAATAAAACAATATAATATTCAGCAAACTTTTCCTAAGCATTCTTTCATCTTATGATTTAACCAAGTATTGGCTTTGAGTCCGATGGACCTGGATTCAGGTCTTGGTCTGTAATTTACTAACTTGTGCTTTGGGCAAGTTGCTTAACCTCTGAAGGCATATTTCTTTTTCTACCAGTAAGTAAAACAGAATTACAGGTACTGTACTACATGGAGTTCAGTGGGAATTCAAAGGAGGGAGTAGTTAGCATTTCCTTCTTTGAAGAACTTTTTTCCAAGTGAGTTGCAGACGTAATGTTAATAATACCCATTTACTCCTATTTACTTGTATGTCTTTTCTAAAAACAAAACCGTTTTTTGTCCATGACCACAGGATGATCATCAAATCAAGAATTTAAGACAGATAAGTATATTATCTAATCTAGAAATTTTACTCATATTTCACCACTTGTACCTCTGATGTTCTTTATAGTAAAAGAAAGAAAATTGTGCCCTGGTCCACTCTCCAGTGTGGATCCTGTATTTCATTTAGATGTTGTCTCTTTAGTCTCCTTTAATCTGGAACAGTTCCTCAGTCTTTACCTTTCATGGCCTTGACAGTTTTGAAGTGTGCCAGGTCATTTATTTTGTCAGATGTCTGTTTCTTTGAGCTTGTTTTATATCTTATCATGATTAGATTCAGGTGATGCACTTTTGGCTGAAATACCACAAAGGTGGTGTGTATTTTGGGAGGTAGTATTTCTTTGTTCCATTATAAGTGATGTTAACTTTGATCGCTCGGTTAAGTTGATATTCTGCCGTGTTCTCTGTAAAATTATTTTCCTTCTGTAATTAAGTATCTTGTGGAAATACACTTTCAAACCATGTAAATATCCTGTTTCTCATCAAACTTTTACCCACTAGATTTAACAGCCAGTGATGAGTCTTACATGAAACTGTTACTTTGTTGGTTGCCAAACAGATGATTTTCCACTTTCCAGCATTTGTTTTACTTAGTTAGTTGACATTCCACTGTCAGGAAGAGCTTTTCTTTCTTCCCATATATTTATTCATTTTGTTTATACTTATAGCTTTATTTGACAAGTTATAATTCTTTGCTCTTGCCATTTATTTTGATGCTAAAATTGTTCCAGATTTGGGCAGTTCTTCAAGCTGGCTCATGTCCTTTTGACATATCTTTGTCATTATTTTATTTTATTTTTTTTGTAGTCAGATTGACAATATTTACTGTAATTTTAATGCCCACCTCACCTTTGACCTTTGTGTGTTTGTGTGTGAGTGTGACTTTGTCCAGTTTATTCAGTTCATTTGGTGGTTTTTAAAAAATGAGACCTAATTGACATATAACATTGTATTAGTTTCAGGTGTGCACCATGTTTTGATATTTGTATATTCCATCATTTTTAATTACTTGTGGCCACAGCAATTGTTTGGGCTCTTGCTCTAGCTGTAGATCAGGCCATTTCTCTAGGAATCCCTGGTTCCTTTTAGTGGAGAATGGCTGTTCTGTCCTTTTACTTGCTCAGGCCCAAAAAGGTACATCCTTGATCTTTTTCCCTCTACTCTGTATTCAGTCTCATCAGCAAATCCTAATAGTTCTACCTCTAAAATATATCTAGAAGATAACTACTTCTTACCCTCCCACCTTTACTACTTTAGTCTAAGCCACCAATATCTCTTGATTAGGCTGTTGTAATGTCTCTGGACTAATCTCCTTGCTTCTCCACAATCTGTAGTCTGTATTCTTTATACAGGGACCAGAGCAAATATCTTGAAACTCAAGCTGGATCATATCACTCCTCTGCTCAGAAAACTCTCTTTCAGTCTCATGTAGTATTATTAAAAACCAGTCTTTACCATTGTTTTTGTTGTTGTTGTTTTTATCATTAATATATAATTATATGAGCAACATTATGGTTACTAGATTCCCCCCATTATCAAGTCCCCACCACATACCCCATTATAGTCACTGTCCATCAGTGTAGTAAGATGCTATAGAATCACAATTTGTCTTCTCTATGCTATACTGCCTTCCCTGTGCCCCCCCGCTACATTATGTGTGCTAATCGTAATGCCCCTTATTCCCCTTATCCCTCCCTTCCCACTCACCACCCCCCAGTCCCTTTCCCTTCGGCAACTGTTAGTTCATTCTTGGGTTCTGTGAGTCTGCTGCTGTTTTGTTCCTTCAGATTTTGCATTGTTCTTATGCTCCACAGATGAGTGAAATCATTTGGTACTTGTCTTTTCCACCTGGCTTATTTCACTGAGCATAATACCCTCTAGCTCCATCCATGTTGTTACAAATGGTAGGATCTGTTTTCTTCTTATGGCTGAATAATATTCCATTATGTGTATGTATCACATCTTCTTTATCCATTCATCTACTGATAGACACTTAGGTTGCTTCCATATCTTGGCTATTGTAAATAGTGTTGTGATAAACATAGGGGTACATCTGTTTTTTCAAACTGGGAAACTGCATTTTTAGGGTAAATTCCTAGGAGTGAAATTCCTGAGTCAAATAGTATTTCTATTTTAAGTTTTTTGAGGAACCTCCATACTGCTTCCCATGATGGTTGAACTAGCTTACATTCCCACCAGCAGTGTAGGAGGGTTCCCCTTTCTCCACATCCTTGTCAGCATTTGTTCTTATTCTTTTCTGTGTTGCCCATCCTTACTGGTGTGAGGTGATATCTCATTGTGGTTTTAATTTGCATTTCCCTGATAATTAGCGATGTGGAGCATCTTTTCATGTGTCTGTTGGCCATATGAATTTCTTCTTTGGAAAACTGTCTGTTCATATCATCCACCCATTTTTTAATAGGGTTATTTGTTTTTTATATATGAAACATATATAAAGTTCTTTATATATTTTGGATGTTAGCCCCTTGTCAGATATGTCATTTACAAATATATTTTCCCATTCTGTAGGATGCCTTTTTGTTCTGCTGATAGTGTCCTTTGCTGTACAGAAGCTTTTGAGCACGATGTAGTCCCATTTGTTCATTTTTTATTTTGTTTTCCTTGCCCAAGGAGATGCGTTCATGAAAAAGTTGCTCATGTTTATATTCAAGAAATTTTTGCCTATGTTGTCTTCTAAGAGTTTTATGGTTTCATGACTTACATTCAGGTCTTTGATCCATTTTGAGTTTACTTCTGTGTATGGGGTTAGACAATAATCCAGTTTCATTCTCTTGCATACAACTGTCCAGTTTTGCCAACACCTTTACCATTGCTTTTAAGACCCAGTGTGACATTGGGCCTGCCTTCTTCTCTGGCTGCTCGCTTCTCTCTCTGGCCCTTGTTCATTTTTCTCCAGCCACAGGCCTCCTCCTCTTTCTCAGACACACTGAGCTTGCTCCTGCCTTGGAGCCCTTGTGTTTACTGCTCCCTCCCTCCAGATTGCCCTTCCTCCAGTCTCTAGTGCTCACTGCTCACTCCTTTTAGGCTTCTGCTCATACATCGCCTTATCAGAGAGGCCTTTCTTAACTCCCAGACTGAAAGCCTATACTCATCTTTACCGTATCACTCTTTGTCCCCTTACCTACCTGATTTTCCTATGGAGTACCTGTCACTTCTTGAATTTAAATTATTTATTTCTAGAATGTCCAGTGCCTTGAAAACAAGGACTTCTATTTTTCATCACTGCAGTATATCAAATACTTGGAATATAGTAAAGGCTCAGTAAGTATTTAATGGGTGGATATTTGAATGAAATTTCCTGCTGGCAGAAATGGGGCAGCTAGTTGGAATCATAGGAATGTGAAGAGAACAATGACTAGGAAGAGTTAAAAGGGGTACTGAGCCTTGCCCAGGTCCAGTGGAGACAGTATAAATTTGTGTTGAGCAATAATTGGCTAATTATATGTTTCTTCCAGTGTTTTATTAAACTTGTGATTATCCATGGATGTATCTGGCACCAAGGAAAGAAACAGCTGAATATTTAAGTCTAATTTGTGCTTACTTCCATTACACTAAAA